TCCACCATGGCCTCCCGAGTCCCCGGCTCCACCATGGAAACCTGAGCCCCCTGTTCCACCATGGCCTCCGGAGCCCCCTGATCCGCCATGGCAACCTGAGTCCCCTGTTCCGCCATGGCCTCCCGAGTCCCCAGCTCCGCCATGGCAACCTGAGCCCCCTGTTCCGCCATGGCCTCCTGAGCCCCTTGATCCGCCATGGCAACCTGAGTCCCCTGTTCCGCCATGGCCTCCCGAGTCCCCAGCTCCGCCATGGCAACCTGAGCCCCCTGTTCCGCCATGGCCTCCTGAGCCCCTTGATCCGCCATGGCAACCTGAGTCCCCTGTTCCGCCATGGCCTCCCGAATCCCCGCCTCGGGCTCCTCCACCACCTGCTCCGCCGCCGTTGGACGATCCTCCTCCTAGTCCCCCTCCGCCCCTCCCTCTGTTTCTACGGTGCGAGGATGCACCTTCCGGGAGGGGGGAGTACTGTAACGCCCCTGTGGACTGTTTGTTGTGGTTTCTTCCCTTTGTGTTGGTTTAGCCCGTCTAATCATTAGATAATCACCGTCATTGTGCTCACCTGTCTGACTCTAATTATTCACACCATATTAGTTCCTGTCTGTCTGAGCATTGGTGTCGGTTATTGTTACCCCGAGTGTGTGTCTCACCTACCTGAACCTGGCTTGTTGTGCCTACAATAAATGTTATTATTGGAATCCTTGTCGTCCTCGTCGTCCTGCCTGCCTCCACACACCCGATTCCGTGACAATTACCTTTTTACTGAATATTTGATCAAATAAATGCAGCCTTGGTGAGTACAAGAGACTTCTTACAAAACCATATAGCTATATTAAATCAATTAATTATTTGATCATTTTGCTAATATTATCATTTGTCTTCTTTATTATTCATCCTTCATTGACAATTGTGACGTAGTGTGATAATTGTCATATATTGTATTTTTGGTTTGTTTTTAAAATGCAGTTTAAACATATCTAACATATATTCCTCATCCATTGATTGACAGGTGGTTGCCCTTGGTGACATCACTGATGGAACACTGGTCACAGTGATGGCCGGCAACGATGAGAATTACTCTGCTGAACTTCGGAACGCCACAGCCGCCATCAAGAACCAAGTGGCCCGATTTAATGATCTGCGTTTCGTTGGCCGCAGTGGACGAGGTAAAATGCATATAATGCTTAAAAATATAATAAATTCACTCCTTCTCACCTAAACATAAACGTTTGAGAAAAGGAAACACACATCAGACTCACCGCTGAGCCGTGACGCAGATATTTTAATGTCAATGTCTGCATGTGTGTACATGCTTGGTTAAATGTGTATGTTTTCCCATGTGTTTTGATATTGTGCTCAAACACATCAGCACAGACCGTTACCTGTCGCTTCCACTTCCTGTGGCAGGCGGTCGGGGCAGTCAAATACTGCAGATCTTATCTATTTAAAACACAAGGCTTTATGTACACTTGCTAGCCATCCAGCCCTTTGTACCACCATCTAATTGTTGAACCACTTCACTGTGGTAGCAGAGCACAGCAATGCCGTTTTTGAGGCCTGTATTTTATATATTTAAAGCACCAAAAATGTTACTTGTGAGAAAATGAGGAGTGGCTTCTTACAGTATTTGTGATGTATGAATCGTCCAGCTTCTGTAATGACAGAGTAGTTAGTCAACAGAATGACTGGCTTCTGGGAAAACTAGGGGTCCCGCAGGGCTCTATTCAAGGCCCGATGTGATTTCACTGATATAGTCCTCAACGCAAACACGACTGCTTTTAATCTACATGTCCAGACCTGCGATAAATATATGAATGCATACACACTCTTTTGTCCTGCTCTCTTTTGTCTGTGTCATCATTTGAACGCAGCATAATAGCGGCAACTAAGTTGATGTTTGCAGCAGGTGTGCTTGCATGCTTTGAGTGCAGAATGCATGCATTGAAAATGGAAACTGAGTTTGTTTACAAAGAAAAGCATAAATGTTTAGTCCGGATTGTTAAACAAAACATATTTGTCCATTTTTTTTCTGCATGAAAGTCTTGCTTTTCAGTGAATTTCAGACATGCATATCCTCACAGACTGTTGTTTATCCAAGCGTGTCTGTGAGCACGAGAGCAGCTGCACTCTGCTGCGATGGAAGTGATTAGGTTTAGTGCCGGAAAAGAGTGCAGGTCGAGAAGAAACAGCAAGAGCGTGTTAGGTAAGAGAGAAATGTAAACTATGCATATCTACACACACTCTTGCTACTCTGTATTATGTAGACGTGTAGATAAGACAACAAAGACTGCATCTATGTGGCTTTTTTGTCCATCTATTATTGTTTCCGCAGCATCGTGAGTCACTTGATGTTTTCAGGCACATTTTCATGCACACATTTATAAAGTTTCTTGCTTTGTGAGTTTGACTTGTCTGTGCTCACACCCACACACTGTACAGTACTCTACAAAACAGACACACATAAACAAATTCCCCCACATCACACATGCACACACACTATGTAGGGACATCCCCTTGAGAAACGCTCTGCACTTCCTCCCTGTTTGGGCAGTGAGTCTCTCAGACAGAACGTCTCCCATCCAGACGCTAAAACACTGAACCACAGTGTGTGTGGGTGTGTGTTAGTGCAAAAGGTTTTGTAATGAGTGTGTTAGACAGGAAGAGATGAATCAGTGTTTTGCATTTATATTTCTTAAGAATTCATTTAAAAATGGTACTATGGAATGATTACCATATTCATATACCAGTGTATTTACATACTCCACAAGGTACAAAAAATATCATGGTATGATAATGTAATTTAATTTAATGTAAGTAAATGTTTAAAAATGGGTCATATAAATGGAGCATGGTATCAGATCTTAAAAATGCCATGATACTGACTTCAAGGTACTCAATTTAAGGGCATGCTAATACCATGCTGCATGTCCAAAAATATGGTATTATCATGGTAATGTGTCCAAATACCATGGTATTGTCATGGTAGTCCAAGAAACTTCAAAGAAGTACCATGGTATCATTTCTCTCTCTCTCTCTATATATATATATATATATATACAGTGGGTACGGAAAGTATTCAGACCCCCTTCAATTTTTCACTCTGTTATATTGCAGCCATTTGCTAAAATCATTTAAGTTAATTTTTTTTCCTCATTAATGTACACACAGCACCCCATATTGACAGAAAAACACAGAATCGTTGACATTTTTGCAGATTTATTAAAAAAGAAAAACTGAAATATCACATGGTCCTAAGTATTCAGACCCTTTGCTCAGTATTTAGTAGAAGCACCCTTTTGATCTAATACAGCCATGAGTCTTTTTGGGAAAGATGCAACAAGTTTTTCACACCTGGATTTGGGGATCCTCTGCCATTCCTTACTTTCCGTACCCACTGTATATATATATATAATGCTGCTGGGTGAAAAAAACACAGTAATACTGCTTTTTGACATACATACTACCAGGTTTTTTTGGAAATGATACCATGATATGGGGTACCATGAAAATACCATGGTACTGTTTTTAAAACCGAATGTTCTGAACATTTTGTCATAAATCATTAGTGCAGTATTACAGCGTTTTAAGTGTGTTTTCCTGGATGTGATGTGTGTTGTTTGTGTGTGAGGTCATGGCAGACAGAAGTGGATCGGTGTTGTCACAGCGACTGCGCTCAGAATAGCACCTGATCCTTGGCGCGGCCCGTGTTTGTGTGTGCGTGTCACATCTGTGCATATGTGTGTGGTCAGACCTCTTAGTTTGTCAGATTTTGGGGAACAGCTTGGAGTTTTTCCCAGCTCTGTTTTTCTGGCTGAATAATGACTAGCGCGTGTGCGTGTAACCGTACCTTGCTTTGGCTGGAGCACTTAGGCCCATTTAGTGCCGTGTAACTCAAACCTGATGTTGGCACGCAAGCGGCCGCCTCCCTGGGGTCCATCTCATCGTCATAGCGATGAGTGACAGGTGAAGGCATCAGGAATTGTGGGTAGAGACCCCAGTTCCCATAATCCTTCTAGTCAAATTCAGTTTGTCATTTGGCACATATGCACGTCTCGCCTCATAATGTCAGTCAAAGCATGAGTCGCAGCTCATTCTGAAACTAAAATCATGCATCTCATTATAATTTGCGTGAGTTTGCTCCATAGTCATATCATCCTATCGTCAGCCTGTGAGATCGCCGATTCACAATATTATCATGCTTATTTATTCAATTATTTACTTACTTCATAGCCGGAGAGTGAACCAACTCCAGGGTAAGGCCAAAAGCAGCCTAATGTTAGTATAATCTATTAACGACACATATTTTTTAGTCAAGTAGCATGTCCTAAAATATTTTTAATATGACTGCATTTGTATTTAACATGATAACAATTTAATAGAAACATTTTAAGTTACTAATTTTAATGTTTACGTTTCCTCAGTTTTTCAAACAGCAGCTACAGAAAATGAGCAAAGAACATCATCACTGTCTTCATCACAGTCTAGCGCGGGTTTATGCACTTCAAAAAACACTCCCGTTATAATCAGTGAAGCCGTCTACACGGTATGATGAATAAATCTCTTATACTTACATCGCACGCGCATCTTCACTTTGTGGTTTATGATGTGAGAATTTGCGAGAGAGCAGAAGTCAGTCAGTGAGCAAGTACACTGAACAACAAAACTAGTGTTTCAACAATGACTAATCTAAATACCTCTGATTGGACATTGCATCTATAAACTCAATGGAATCATGTGTTATTGGTTATAACGTGCAACATTAATAATAATAATAATAATAATAGTCTTGCTATCATCAAAGGCAGCAGTGACTTGTGAAAAATGTTTCTTGGGTAAACCTCATGGAAATATTTCATCCAAAAATCTAATTATATATTTTACATAAAAGAAAATTAAGCTTGTTTTGTACCATGAATATTTTTTACATTTCAACATGATTTATATTACAGTTAAGCATGTTATATAATGTTTTGTAATGTATCCTAATGTTTTACTTAGCTTTCTTTATGGTCAGGATTTCATTAAGTTATAAATCTCATTACTGAAATATAATGATTTAAATAAAATTACTATAAATCAAAGGCAGTACATGATTGAAATAAAATCATGTACTTTCTGATTTCTGATTTTATGATCTCTTTGGTTGTTTTTATTGGTAAGTGTGTGCTGGTGTCAGTTCATGTCAAATCTGTCTGTCTTTGTGTCGCGGCTCCTCTCGATAGCTCACTGTATTATTTCTGACTCTCTTTCTCTCACTCTGTCTTTTCGAAATTGTCCATGTGTCATCTGTTTATTTGGGGATGTGGTCACATGACATGCTGTTTGGCCCGTGTCTCCACTGTACTGTCTGAACTTCATCTCTGTTTAAGGACACAACAAAGGCGACTTTAAATTCCCTTTTGTATCTGCTTGTGGGGTTTTTATTGTGACACGGCCACTTATGATGACAGGCATCTTAATGATAGATCAGCCACAACGTCTTCATCCAGAAATACACTCACTTCCCTCTCGCTTACTGTGTTTTACTGTCTCACACTCCTTTAAATATGTACTCCTCACATGTAGCCACTAATAAATATATCCTGTGAAGAAGTGCTAAATATATCCTGCAAATGCTGAATTTCTAACCTGTTTGTTTGTCTGTATTTTTCAGGGAAGAGTTTCACTCTCACCATCACTGTCTTCACAAACCCTCCTCAGGTGGCCACGTATCAGAGAGCCATAAAGATTACTGTAGACGGACCCCGCGAACCACGACGTGAGTGATGACACATGCAAATATAAATATACAAAACATTATATTATGTGTGTGTGTATATATATATATATATATATATATATATA